CTCCTCCGCCACCGACCTACGTTGCATCTTCTTCTTCTTCTTCGCCCCATTTCTTCGGTTAGAGTCCGCGTCTTCTTCTTCGCTCTTTCGCTTTCTTCTCACAGCTTTGTTTGCCTCCGCAGCTTCCACCCGTAGCTCGTCGCGCCACCGCAGCCGCGCGGCCAACCTCTTCCTCTCCTCCATCTAGCCGAGAAACAAAATAATACGCCCCCTACCCAAATCATATCCAGTAATATTTATATACTATAAATAAATGTTTAGATTTTATTATTATTATTAAAAATGAAGTTGCATGTCGACACTTGCTCCTGGACAACGAAGCTGTTGGTTGTTGACCACAAAGCGCGAACAACCAAAAGAAGAAGATGGAAGGAGGCGTACCGAAGGCCAAGCTGCAGATTTCCATTCCCAAGAACTTCCAACGCATCACAGCAGAAGATCTCGCCTCGCTCCTCTTCAAGCAGCGACACTCGGGCGTCCTCGTCGTCGATGTGCGGGGTCCTGATTTCCATGGCGGCCGTACCCCTCTCGTCCACCACTTTGCTCGAGCGCACCTATGATTTTTTTGATTTTTTTTTTTGAGGTTATTATTATAGGTATTAATTATTTGGCTTTTTTTTAAGTTCGTCGTTTGCTGGGTTGGCCAATCAAATCTCGAAACCCACGAGATTGGCACCAGGTCGAGCTGACCAACGTTCGTCCCCACTCTTCTTCTTCTCCCGAGCGCAGACATTCCCGGGGCCTTGAACCTGCCCTTCGATGGTACCACTCCACCCTCGCGTTGCACCCTCGCGCAATGGGTGGTAACTTGTTCGAGGAGAGTACCTCACCGCACACGCACGCGCGCGCGACATCAGACGCGGTCGAGTCGAAGCTGGAGCAGTTGGCCAAGGAGCACGGGCGCAAGGACTACATTGTGTTCTACTGCATGTACGGCCAGCTGAGATCGCCGGCTGCCGCGCTGAGCCTCATCAAGGCCCTCGGCACCGACGCCGCCTCGCAGGGCAACAACGTGTACGCCTCCGCTACCACCACAACTGCGCCAGCAATGCGCGATTTGCCTTGTAACATACATGTGTTGTGTGCATCGTGTGCCGTGTGTGGTGTCGTGTGTCGTGTGGTGTGTGGTCATCTGATGTGATTAGTTACGTCCTGGCTGAGGGCTTCAAGAACTGGGTGAAGACGTTCAACGGAAAGAAGGACGACCACATCGAGAACTTTGATCGAGAATGCTGGGATGAGGTGTGTCCCTCCTGCTCACATTTTCTGTGTATGTCGCCAGCTCAACGCGGGCCGGGTTTCCAGGTGGAGTCTGAGCTGGTGCACATCAACGATCAGCCAAGCCCCAGGGATCTGGCAGGCCACTGAATCGCTCTTTGAGTACAGACTGGTGGCCTACAAGCAGACAGCACGCGCTTTTTGATCCAGGACAACATGGCACAGAACTTAATTGCAGTGTCTTGTTGAACCCACAAGGAACAGGCAGCAACAAAGCAAGGGAAAGAAATGAACCTCCCTCAACTCCAAGAGTGGAGGGAGGGGAGAGAACAAGTTGGTTTATTTGTGTTGGATTGAGAGGGGGACGGCGGCTCTCTGAAGAGGCCAGCCACTAAAAATTAGTGAAGGCACATTGAGTGAGCCAGCAACACGGTGGTCTTTAGTAAAAGGCGAAAAACCAATACGTTATGCTGCTGGCTCTGTGCAATGCTTGCTCTCTGGCTTCGTCCAACGTCTTCTACGTGAAGCTGCGTGCCTCAACTTATGGGTCGGCAGGAAGGAAAAGTTAGTCGCCATCGCGCAGCTTTTGTGCAGCCGGGCCACAATTAATAAGACACAAAAAAGAGCACAAAAAGAACGAAGAAGATGGCAACGACGACGGGGGATGGAACTGCTCTGGCCCAGGCACGAGAGGAAAACGCCCGCCTTCGAAAAGAGTTGGAGACACTCCTTCATGCTCAAGACGTGGCCAAGGATCGTGCTCGCGTACGTGTATTTGGGGGGGGGATGAAGATAGCAATTTTCATGCTCATGGGCGTCAGGTGTACAGATTGCAATAGAGAACTTGGTGTCAGAGAACAAAAAGCTCGTCACCGAAATCTACTCTATAGAGGTGCGTCCTTCCACCGAGGTGGCGAATCGACGCTCAAGATTTGTTTGACAATGGTGTGTTTGCAGACGAAATCAGCAGAGATGAGGCGAGAGCGAGTAGAGCTGCTCAACCAGCTGCGCAAGTAGATGCCTACTTTCTCCCACATCTTTGTAAATTAAAAAGTCACTGTAGTGCAAAACGCCACGCTCAGTGCGGCGGGTTTCTGGTGTTTTTTAGGGCAAAAAACAGGAGTACTCCTGTGAGTAATCGGCGTAGGAGGGCAAATGAGAGGAAAGATTGCTTAGATGGTGCCCTTGGTCGTGAGCACAACCCAGGTCGCGTGGATGACGCCGCCGATCCACGTAAAAATCCAGAGGAGAATGTTCAAGAGCAAATGAATGTCGCATCCTCGCTTGAGGAAGACCGAGACGGGCGGGAGGAAGATCGCCAAGATGATGAGCAGGATGTCCACTGCATAGATGTGTATTGTGGCGCCAGAGAATTGAGCGTTAGTGCGGATTTTGATGCGTGTAGAAGAAAATCTGCGTCGTACCAACTTCCATAGTAGTGCTAGGCGGGGTCGAGAGTGACGAGGTTGGAGTCTTGCTCTTGGTGAGGTGGTGGTGCTTGTGCTGTTGGTGATAAGAAAGACTAGAAGCCGGCGTGGCGCCAACACTCGCGGCAGGCGCGAGAAGTCGGGCAGATAGAGAGGGCCGGTCCTCCCCCCAGGGCCAGTGCCGGAGAATTCGCCCGAAATCACGCACCTCGTAGGCTGTTGGTCCGGCACGACGCGTTTATTGGCCTTCCGATAAGCTCATTAGTCGACCCACACACAGGTCTGTAGTGACACGTGTATATGAAGCAATAGGGGCAATGTCGATTTGTTGCACAACCCTTCATTCATTCGGCAACATGGGTCAGGCGCAGAGTTGACGTCGGGGAAGAAGTGGTTGGTAGTGTTTTTGGGACACTCACGTATGTGAACAACAAAGGAAGGAGAGAGAAGGAGAGGTGGTGGAGGACAATAGCAACCGTGTGGCCCAGAACGGGGGAGGGCGCTTCAGGGGGCTGGCGTGTCCACCATCTTGACGGTGATGAGCTTGACGCGGGTGGCGTAGAACAGGGGCGGGTTCACGTTTCGCAGGTAGATCACACCCCACCTACACACCATCCGCCAACCTCGCGCATGAGCAAACACGTTACATGCGCACGACACACACGACAACACAAAAGACGAAGGGGAAAGGGTGTGTGGTGACGTACATGAAAGTGGTGAACCACATCTTGGCCACGGCATTGGACTGGTACCTCCTGAGGAGGATCGGGTGGGGCACGGGCAGCAAGCCCACGAGGGTGGTGTTGCGGAGGTACTCCAGGATCTGGGCCTCGTCCGCCGAGGAGCCCGACACAAGCGCCGGGATCTGCGGCACGATCGCCGCCAGCAGCCGGATGATGGGCACGATCGGCAGCGACGCGCGCCACGACTCGATCCACTC